CTGCGTATTTTAAAGGTCATTTTGCTACTGATGAGAGGAAAACTGCAGGATTCACTCTCACAGAGAGAAGCTAATTGCTCAACGTTTCATGTAAGTATATTCAGACTCCTCCAAGCTGTTCATTACCATTTTTACCCGGACTGTAATGGAATTATTTAACATTTAAACCCATCAGACACACTTAATCACAAACCCCGGCAGACACTGCTGCATTTAAAACATCGCTTCTTCAAGTGCAGGAGACCAAATAGCAGTGTTCATTTCCCGTTTTACAGCAAGCCAAAGACCCGCCGTGACTATCACAGCACTTTTTGCACTTCCCAAGTACATCGCAAATACTTAGATGCCTATCACATAATACACCCTTCATATGAGTGACTTCCCTCCTTTCTCTGTCCACCACTAATAGCCTCAGTATCAGTGCATATCATTACCCATTTCTCTCTCCCACCTTTAAAGCAAGCCCTCGGCATCTGCTACTCTGTTTGACAACAGCGAGCCATTCAATACTTCATTTACACCACATGAGGGTGTTTGAAGCTGTGCAGGATGCCAGAGTTAATTTGGAAGTCCTCCTGTCTGGAAAGGAACCAAGGGGCAAAAAGATACGTTATTTCCCCACTGATTAAGAACCTTACTGGGGCAACCTTGGACAAGAGACTTTGAGAGGAAAAAGATGAAGCCTCCCACGCCAGATTGGAAGAGGATGCTTTAAAGAAGATATTTTAAACAGAGCAGTTTTAAAGACATAATCCCGTGCTCCCTGAATTCAAGTAATCTTTTGCTCCAGACTTCCCCGAGCTTTGTCTTGCCCTTAAGGAATCATGTAAAATATGATATGATTTCATATTATTTCCAGTAAAATCTCCTTAGACAGGATTAAGTAATCATTATCCCCCTGCAGAGCTCTTTAGAAGCTTTCCATTAGCTTCTTGCTCAAAGTTAATTGCAGAGTCAGGAAGGACTGGCTACTAACATAATATATAAAACAAATCTTCCCCTTCCTAAACTGCAGCTTCTGGAGTTTAAGCACACACAGATCTGTCCCATGTTTGTCTGCTCTGATAAGCGACGGCTTTAAATCCAGCAAAGACTTCACAAGGTCACTCATACCCTGTCGTGGTATCATTTCTGTACACAGCTTTTTAAAGCGAACACATACATGAAAAGGAACCCAGAGCACCTCACAAGGCTTCCAACACAGCTGCAGCGAGGAAAGCATCTCTCTAAAAGAGAAAACTCTGTCGGTCCATATTAAGATGATCTTTTCCCCTAGGGAAGTCCCAGGTGGCAAAGACCATTATCAGCAACTGTTAACATAGGAGCTGGGCTCTGGGATGGCCAAGCAGCCTGTGCTCTCCCAGGCACTGCCACACTGCAAACTATAGGGGTGCTTCTTAAATAAGCAAGCCCAGCTTAATTCATTTACAGGCTCAAAAGGTGCCTTGTAAGAGAAGCCACTGCAATGCATGTTAAAAGGAGGCATGGTTCAGAGGCAGAAGGTCATTCAGGAGGAATAAGGCTTGGTGGGGTGGCTGTCAGGCATGCGAGGACCAGAGCATCCTCTAAGCTCACAGCTGCTGAAGAGATGGAAGCCAGGCGGAGGCAGAGGGCACCCATCTGCCCCATGTACATCAGGCCTGGGGCTGGCAGTCGTTCCCTGCCCGTGGTTAGCAGGACCCACACCACCTGGACACAGCCATCAGGAACAAGAACTGGGGAGTGCTGGGTAAAGTCGCTCTCTTCGCTGAGTCCCAGCCCTGCTGCTGACTTCACAAGGCACATTAGTAACTGAAAACAACCACAGGACACAAACTGCTTGCTTCCATCCTCTCCCTACCCCCTGCAACAGTGTGCTGTCTCCCCAGAAGCAGATGAAGGCCACTTGCACACAGAACCCCCTTGCTGCTTAGCTCTCTGATGCGTTGCTTTTACAGCTGTGTCACGCACATATGAAAGCCCATATACAGCAGACGCAGCTTATTTCACAGTATTGCATCTGTGTTATGCGTGACCTCAGATTCTGACTCAGGTCTGCATTACAGGTTTTACTGTATTACAGATTTGCATTTAGCATCACTGTGCTGGTTTGGGATGGGGTAGAGCTCATTGTCGTCATAGTAGCTGGTATGGGGATGTGTTTTGGGTTTGTGCTGCAAACAGTGCTGATAACACAGGGATGCTTTAGTTCCTGCAGTGATTACACAAAGCCAAGGCCTTTTCTACCTCTCACCCCACCCATGAGTGGCTGGGGTGCACATGAGGTTGGAGGGGGAGGCACAGGTGGGACAGCTGACCCCACCTGACCACAGGGATATTCCACACCATAAGGCATCATGTTCAGTATATAAAGCCGGTGGAAAAAGGAAGGAAGAGTGGAACGTTGGGAGTGATGGTGTTTGTCTTCCCAAGTCACCGTTAACCTGTGATCGAATGCCTGCTTTCCTGCAGGTGGTTGAACCCCTGCCTGCTGATGGCAAGTGGGGAATGGATCCCTTGTTTTGCTTTGTTTTTGTGTGTGTCTTTTGCTTTACCTGTTACAACCGTCTTGATCCTGACCCAGGAGTTTCACCTTTGGATTCTCGCCCCCATCCCACAGGAAGGAGCGAGCAGCTGAGGGGGCTGAGCTGAGCTGCTCAGCTGTAAGCAGAGACTCGGTACAATAACCTTCTATCCCCATGCAGCAAGCTTCAAACACGTTACCCTTATAGAAGAGCTTTCCTGACACTCTCATAGTGTTGCTTCTGTCAGTCCCTGTCTTCACAGTCTTCAACACCTCAGGGGTAGTTTCCCTGGTGGCTTAAGCCACACTTGAGGCATCTGGTAACTTTATCTGGTCCAAGTTATTCCAGGATTGGAATAAGCACCCAAGTCCAAGCTGGGGGGGGAGGGTGGTGGTGTTTAAACCTTCACACTGGGGCAGCTGATGCCCAAAATAATGGCTTCGGTGTTGTCTGTGAGGTTTTGTCCCGTTTAAGTTAAAGCAGGGGTAAATTTTGAGCCCAACCACAATTCTTGGGTATGTTACGTGTTTATCCCAGCGAGCAGCAGGTGAAGCCAAACAGAAACACGAACTACCTTGCGCTCAATTCAGCTTCATTAAAATGAAAGGATGGAGACGGGGGCTGGCAGGTGGGGATTTTCCCTCTCTCTTTGCCCCCGGTCCCCCATGCTGCCCTCCGATGGAAGGGAGGGCAGGCATCCTCCTTGTCCCCATCCGTCAGCCCCGCTGCATCCCCCCCCACCAATCCCGCCGCTCCGGGACACGGGGCCGCGCTCGCCGCCGGCCGCGGTGCTGCGGCGCCACCTGCTGTTCATATTCGGGAGCGCAGCTGCTGCGCCCGCGGGTGCTTCCTCGGTGCGGGGGGAGCTCCAAGGAGGGATGCTCTGGAGAGGCTGGAAGTGGTCCTTCAGCCAGGCGGGAGTGGCCTGGAGGTCGCTCCGTGGCTGAGCCATGTTTGCGGAAGCAGCATCCTTTGGGACGGGTGGGGCGGGGAGCCGGGCGGAGCTCCTGGTGGCTCTCCTTGCAGCCAGGCTCTGTTAGCAAGTCGTGGGGTGTTCCCAAAGGCAAAACCTCAGTGCCAGAGGGAACATCTCCGACCTGAAGCAACCGTGGGGATTAAAATAGCCGAGATGATAAAATAACGCCACGTTGATGCTATGCTATGGAGTCTGCTATCGACCTCTAATGACAAGGAAGCAAGCTGTGCTCTCCGCATCCTTTGGAATATGGCTATCCAGCTTGCTTTTTTATCCCGACTTCTTTGTTCAAAAGCAGCAAGCTGCCTTCTTTTGCAGTGACTGAGAGCATGAAAAGTTAAACTGCGTTGCTTCTACAAACCCATACAGACAAGAAGCACTCAAATTAATATTGAGCCTTCCCTGCATGCAGAGTCTGTACAGCTTTGTAGGGAGGAAGGTGTTTTCTGTTCAGCACAGATGTTCCCTTAGGGATGGATTTAGAACTGCTTATGCCATAAGGTAAATAATAGAACAAAATGCCTCTAAAAAGGTCTGTTAGATCATTCTTTCCAGTAAGCCATTCATCCATCTGAAGTCCCAGGAAATACAGTGCTCCAAACCCTGATACTCATTGACCCGTGTTTAGCAGTAAATAAAGCAAAACCCTAAACCAGAATACAAATTTTAAGCTTGACATGATTGCGTTTTAGTTGATTAACGTTAATTACAGAAATACCATCCTGTTAACAATACATGTCCCAACAAGCTCGGAGGGACGGTTTCTTGGCTGGCTGAAGGTAACGTAAGACCACACTGCTGCCAAAAGCACTGCTCCTATGCCTTGCATTGGTGACCATATAGCTGCTGAACTGCCTACTACCCTAATCATGAGTGAAAGTGCAAGGGAGCACACAGCCCTGGAAGGATGGAATCACAAAACGGTTTGGGATGGAAGGGACCTTAAAGCTCATCCAACTTAAAGCACTTCCAACCCCTGCCATGGGCAGGGACACCTTCCACTAGAGCAGGTTGCCCAAAGCCCCTGTGTCCAACCTGGCCTTGAGCACTGCCAGGGATGGGGCAGCCACAGCTTCTCTGGGCACCCTGTGCCAGCGCCTCAGCACCCTCATAGTGAAGAGTTTCTTCCTAATGTCTAATCTAAAACTATCATCATTCAATTTAAAGCCATTACCCTTTGTCCTAGAACTACATGCCCTTGTAAAAAGTCCCTCTCCAGCTTCCTTGTAGGCACTGGAAGCTGCTATAGGGTATCCCCAGAGCCTTCTCTTCTCCAGGGTGAGCAAGCCCAAGTCTCTCAGCCTGCCTCCATGGGAGAGGTGCTCCAGCAGCTCTCTGTGGCTTTGGGTAACACTGGAGCATCCCTTCCATGGGCTTAAGGCACCTGGGAAACTACCCCTGCGGTTTGGAAAATGGGAAGATAACAAATGACAGAAGCTCATCCAGACCAAAGGAGAATACAATTATTATAGTCCTTTTTATTTTTTTTTCACATGTATCATTGGTATAATTGCAGAAAAGCAGACTCAAGAGTGATAATTGTTTCAAAGGCACAGCACTTCCAAAAGGACCAGCATTTCCCATTATCTTTAGGGTCCTTATTCATTTCAGTCCTCAAGACTCTGCTCCACGGGTCCAAAGTTGATCTTTCTTGCAACATCAACAACAACTGGTTCATCTTCGCAAGCAGTCCCACCAGGCCTGCACCGTGGCCTTTCCCTCTGCACCATCCTGTGCTGCAACCCCATGATAAGAGATGCAGGCTCTTTCTTTCTGTGTAAGGTGCTGATTCCGTTTGGTTTGGTTTCACAGCGATACCAAATCCCATGTTGGTTCATATTTGTCAATATTTGCACAGCAAAACATGTAATAATTGTAAGAACGGCTCCCGTAGGTATCAAAACCCTTGTGTTAAACCACCGTTTCCCCTGTAATCGTGGTGCCCATATGGCAGAGCTGTCATCTCTATACACTTAGCAAAACAAAAGGCGGGTGGAGTGATGTGTTAATCTGTTCCCATTAACAAGACAGCAAATTCCCCCTTGATCCCGCAGCTCAAATGAAGCACATGTAATCTCAGGGTGACACTCACAACGGTGTTAATGTAATGCATGCATAGAGATAGACGGGATGAAATAAGCGTCCTCGGGAGCGCTCAGCTTCCAGCACCGATGTCATTTAGGTGCTCTGCATCTTAATATGGGTCATTAACACCAAACTGTTTTAAAGACAAAGCCTTTTAATTGTGTCGGCCTTCTGTGGGCGATGCTACAGGCTTTCCAGCTCGTGGCAGGACGGGGGGGTCCCATCAGATTCCATCATGCAGGCATACTTTATGGGAGGCGGCGGTGGCTTGAAAGACGGAGGTCTGTCCATTCTGAAACGGAAGAGGAAAAAAAGCACTATCGCACAAAAGCTGTATAAAAGACTGCTGCAAAACGTGCACGGGAGGAGGGAGGTGGACACTAAGTCGTTATAAGAGCACCTGACATTTGCTTTCGCATAGCATGACTCCCCTGTTTCTGTTCTATAGCCTCAGCGCACCTCCCGGTATTCATTTGGCTTCCTCAGCTCCCGCCTCCCAATTTTACTGTATTCATGCTTTAAAAGAGCAGACCGTGGTCCCGGTGAAGCATTCAGAACCCTTGCAGAGGGTTTTTTGTCGCTCACGCTGCTCTCTGAAGGCATATTTAAAGACTCAACTTTTCTTTTGTCAGTTTATAGGCCAAGTTAAAGAAAGGCCCCATCCCAAACCGGTGCAAAAATTAATCCCGTTTTTACCTTTGATATACAGGGTTTTTGCAGCCGCGTTTCAAAAGGGCTTTTTAGGACCGCAAATGAGTCATTAACACCGTGATTTTTCAAACATTTTAGTAATGCTAGTGAGATTAGAAATAATTGGCTCTTAGGTACTGCTTTCATCAGTAGATCTCCGAGTGCTTTAGTCGGGAATTAAACTTTGGTAATAATTACAAACTCAATGCTTCTTTGGCTGGGATTAAGTTTTGGGTAGCCTACTTTCACATATATTATTCACAACCGAAATAGAGTTACCCTAGAAGCACAGTTTCATTAAAACATGTCCTCAAGTAACCATGCAGAAAGAGAGAGCAAAAGCAGCTGGCAGGCAGGCTAATAGGAGTGGGGGGGCTCTGGGATAAAGAAATTGACTTGTATTCTTCCCTCATGCCCTGAAGCTGCACCGCAGCTCTTTCTTTATAGTTTGTTTTATAGATAACCCACGGAACAGATGAAAGGGCTGAGAACACTCAACATAAAAAGGACATGGAACTGTTGGAACAAGTCCAGAGGAGGCCACGAGGATGATCAGGGGACTGGAGCACCTCCTGTATGAAGACAGGCTGAGAAAGTTGGGGCTGTTCAGCCTGGAGAAGAGAAGGCTGCGTGGAGACCTCATAGCAGCCTTCCAGTATCTGAAGGGGGGCTATAGGGATGCTGGGGAGGGACTCTTCATTAGGGACTGTAGTGACAGGACAAGGGGTAACGGGTTCAAACTTAAACAGGGGAAGTTTAGATTGGATATAAGGAAGAAGCTCTTTACTGTGAGGGTGGTGAGGCACTGGAATGGGTTGCCCAGGGAGGTTGTGAATGCTCCATCCCTGGCAGTGCTCAAGGCCAGGTTGGACAGAGCCTTGGGTGCCATGGTTTAGTGTGAGGTGTCCCTGCCCATGGCAGGGGGGCTGGAAGTGGATGATCTTAAGGTCCTTTCCATCCCTGACTATTCTATGGTTCTAACACTCCACGTTTCCTACTGCTGTATGGCAAAACATGGCAGTAGCATCCATGTACTTAAAGGCCTTGTGCAGGATGGATAATGTCAAGGGAAAATGTGTCAATCCAAACAACTGGGTTAGCGTTTATGCTGTTCTCTGTGCCACCCCTCCTGCATCTGCAGTTCCCCCTTCCTTGTACTCACATCTCTTTTTGGTACTGACACCATTTCCTGATGCCCAAAGCTATCAGAAAGCTGCAGGAGAGGAGCAGGACAGCTACCACTGTTGGCCAGGGGAAGTGACTGGCTTTCATGTTCATCACACCACCTGGAAGGGACACAAGAGACAGAGCTCAGCTGAATGTCCTCAGAGAGGAGGCAAATCTGGGCTTGCTGCCTACAGGCACAATGCTAGTGATGATACAGCCCCAAATCAACACTAGACTGTGAGGCTCCCAGGCTGAGGATCCCAAATCTGAACATTGCAGCTCTGATTTATGGAATTAACCCACTTTTCTTCTGACTGGCTTTGCAGACTGATTTCAGCCACCCATCCATTCACATGATGGGGTTGTTCAGGCAGAGGATGGCAAGTGTTTCATCTGAAAATCAGTGCTTTTGTCTGCTTCTGTGTGAGCTTCTTTAAGCACACTGACACCGAGCCCTGCTGAAACGTCTGGCTGAAGGCACAGCCACTTTTTGGTGTGGGATCTTGATGGCACAACAACCCTGCCTCTCCCTTGCTGCCTCTCCTGCTTGAGATCTCCCCAATTCTCCACAGCCACCTTTGAAGGGTGCTGGTAGCTGAAAGAGGTACCCTCAGGATCCCAGCTCTAAGGAGAAAGGAGAGGAGGAGCATGGACCTCCTTCAGCTGGCACTGAGGGTGCAGCAGTGGGCTGGTTGCCACAGAGGCCTGAAGCACAAGAGTCACTGGGTGATACCACCTCATTATCACCTCCCATTGTGCTGGCATCACGACCCTTTGTAATGCTGCTCATGCTGGGATGTCACTCAGCCTGGGGCTTAGCCACAGGGGTAGCCAGCAATGTGGCTGGACACCAAGTCCACCACACTGCACGGCCCCTGGGGCATAGGGAGTGTGACCGGCCAAATTTTGCTGCTGGAAGAAACCACGCACTGAGGCATCACTTGCGGATGCAGGGAGAAGGCAGCAATGCCAAAAGCCTGCAAGGACCCGCAGTGTGGGGACACAGCAGCTGTGACTCCTCTTTTCATCCCTTCTCCCTTCCTTGAGCTCCCCTGGTCAGCTGCACATGATGCTTCAGATCCTGCGCTCCTCTGCTTTTCTGACTTACTGCAACGGCATGCCGAAAGAAGAGGCTTTGTAGGATAATGTCTCACCAGTAGTATTGAGAGAACTGCTGGCCGTAAAGAAATCTTCCCCTCTGGTAACTGAAATTGGCTGATGGGTGATGCTGAAGGACAGGTCACCTAGAAAGATACGGGCACAGAATATTTAGTAACTTATTTGGAGTTTTTTGTTGTTTGCTTTTTTATGTTTAAGTGAAGGTTGTGTTTTGAAGCCACTGTTATTCACCCTGGTGAAGGCTGGAAATCGAACTCCAGAATCAGGGTGTCAAAATTCTCTTGGCAAGAGTCTTACATTTTTGGCCTACAACCCTGTGTTAGCCAAAAATTGTGCTTTTATCAAATTAAATAATAGTAAAAGAAAGAAAGAAAAGAGAGGAGGGGAGGGGAGGGGAGGGGAAGGGAAGGGATGGGAAGGGATGGGAAGGGAAGGGAAGGGAAGGGAAGGGAAGGGAAGGGAAGGGAAGGGAAGGGAAGGGAAGGGAAGGGAAGGGAAGGGAAGGGAAGGGAAGGGAAGGGAAGGGAAGGGAAGGGAAGGGAAGGGAAGGGAAGGGAAGGGAAGGGAAGGGAAGGGAAGGGAAGGGAAGGGAAGGAAAGGAAAGGAAAGGAAAGGAAAGGAAAGGAAAGGAAAGGAAAGGAAAGGAAAGGAAAGGAAAGGAAAGGAAAGGAAAGGAAAGGAAAGGAAAGGAAAGGAAAGGAAAGGAAAGGAAAGGAAAGGAAAGGAAAGGAAAGGAAAGGAAAGGAAAGGAAAGGAAAGGAAAGGAAAGGAAAGGAAAGGAAAGGAAAGGAAAGGAAAGAAAGGAAAGAAAGAAAGAGAAAGAGAGAGAGAAAGAAAGAGAAAGAGAGAGAGAAAGAAAAGTATTAGAAAACACCCATTAAGATGTTCCAGCAACACAGCATTGTGCTGCACAGCAGTCTGGGTGAATGATAAGCTTTTTTACCTCTTTGATGGTAATGAAGAGCTAAAGATATTAAGTGGCTTAGTAGCAACACAAAGAGTATGCCTCTGCCATGACTGAGTGAAACCTCAGTCTCCTCTGTCAAGTACTGTGTCTGAACCACAAAAGTAATCACTCATCTGTTTGTAGACAGATACTTAGCCGTCCTTAATACAGCTAAGCTACCTATGTTTGAGAACAGTGCTGCCTAAGGATACATTCCTGTTTTTTCTAGCCATCTCTGTGTTTGCATCTTCCAAAATAATAGCTAAAAGATGCAATTAGACAATGGCACAGCATTTCCAGAGCTGCCATGGCACTTACGATACACCGGGGTTGTGTTCTTGGAGAAGCGCGTGGCATTCCTGAGGCTTTGAGGGGATTCGGTGATGGAATCATTCAGATCTGTACAAAAAGAAATAATGCCCTTCAATTATCTTACAAGCCTGTACGTGATTGCTTCACTGGGCTCAACTGTGGCTATTTTATACCCTTCGCTTTTGTCTGATGCAAACAACAAATGAAATAACAAAGATACCTGAAAGGCTGTAGTATAATTGCTGATTTATAAATCCAAGAAAAGTAAATCCACCATTTAAACAATGTAAATGAGTAATCAGAGACAGGAAAATCTCTTTCTTATGAGAGGCTGGTTCTGATCAAAATTGAGCACTCAAGTTTACATATATATATATATATGTATGTATGTATATATGGATGGATGGATGAATGAATAGAAGGCTCCAGGGAGACCTTATAGCAGCCTTCCAGTACCTAAAAGGAGCCTCCAATAAAGCTGGAGAGGGACTTTTTACAAGGGTATGTAGTGACAGGACAAAGGGGAATGGCTTTAAACTGAAAGAGGATAGATTTTGATTACATACTATGTATGTTTTTCACTATGAAGGTGGTGAGAAATTGGCACAGATTGCTCAAAGGAGTTGTGGATGCTTCAACCCTGCAAGTGTTCAAGGCCAGGATGGATGGGGCTTTGAGCAACCTGGTCTAGTGGAAAGTGTCCCTGCCTGTGGCAGGGGGTTTAGAACTAGATGATCTTTGAAGTGTTTTCCAGCCCAAACCATTCTATCATGCTGTGTATGTAGGTATGTATGTATTAAAAAGCCCTGACAAAAATCAGTCCAATTTTAGGGCATTCTAAAAATTCACTGAGAATTTTGGTCATCAATTCAGTTCTTCTTTTCTCCTTGTTTATTAGGTGTTTATTTTTATGGGCACAAGCATGCTAGATCTGGCATCTTAAAGTTATATATAAAAAAAGAGGATATAGACTTAGAGATCCCACAGCACAGCGCTCTATATAGCATGCTGATGAGCACTACTTGTTATAATTTACATAATGGCTCGTGTTAGAGCCTCTGAGGATTGAACTGATAATAGCAATCCCTGTTGTGGCCCTGGGAAAGCACAGGGACACATGCTAGTATGCCTCAGCGGGAACACTGGTGCCAGTGTGCTCTGAAATTACCCCCCAATTACAGCTGCCAGACTGAGGACCCTTCAAAGCCATGCCTCAGCTGGCAATCAGGCTATGGGGAAGCAACGGTAGGGATGTAGCCAGGAGTGGTACAGGACTCAGTACCTCCTGTAAATAGCAGTGTAATTCAGCATGCTTTTAGCAAAAATTGCAACCAACAGGCTGTGCCGGGGTAGGATCGTGAAGCATTAGAAGTTGTCACAAGGTTTCAGTCTAAATGCGTGGTTGGGGGTCGTATGCAGGTAAATAAGCACTGGAGTGCTGCCAAAAATACAGTTGGAAAATGGAAAGCGGCTGCTACGCTTGTGCTTCAGCCGAAAGAAGACTGACAGGCAAATACAAGAGTGCATTGACAAGCCCTGCCTGTTCCGAAAGCACAAAACCAGGGATGGTAAAGAAGAGAGTAACTTCCATCTTTCTGCTGCTGCGTGGAGATTTTCTAAAGGGAAAGATCAGCGGAAAAGTGTCCACCCCTGGGGTTTCCTTTATTGATTTATTGATCTTTAATGAGGCCGCCTTTCAACGTTCTATTCGCCAGCCTCTATTGCCCCACATTATCTCATTGTTTCATTGCTGCGCGGTGATTTTATTTAGCTGCTCCTGTAATTCATTTCATCTATAGACTGCCCTCAGTACTCACTGCATTTGCCTAGCAACTCTCTCCATTTCAATATTATCAAATTAAATATGTCCAATAAAACCAGGATTCTCTTCTGCGTTCCTCTTCTGCTGCCACAAATCCTTGACAGCTTGGAAGAGTCAAGCCTTTATCTTCTAGCTCAGTGCAACTCCACAGAGGAATTGCTTCTGTGAAATACTGGAAAGCCGGTACAGATTCCACCACCCGAATCTGACCTCTGCTCAGACACAACTTTTCTGTGTTTAGGAACAGCTTATGCATGGCGATGTGACAACTATCAACTAGCAGCTGAAAATAAGCACCACAGAGCGAATGTGCTTGGCAAAGGCATCACAAACAGGACCACACAGAGCTGAGTACCCGCTGCTGTACTTTGAGCAAGATACTCCAGATGACTTTAGATTTGCAAGCCAACACTTGCTAAGTTGGTGCCACATTTGAACTTTGCAGCGCCCATAACTGGCTTCGTAACTCCCCTGGTACAGTCCTACGAAACAAAGGAACTGCATCATCTACTCACATGCTGTTGTCAATCTCTCATTAAATGCTGTGGAGCTGGTATGGGTTTTTGTTTCTGCTGTAGGAATCAGTGCTCCTGCTGAAAACACACAAGCTTGTAAACATTGCTGCAGAGGAACTTATTACTTGTCTTTCATTTTTCCCTCTTTCTTCCCTGTTTCCTGACTAATGAGGTCAGATGGTTGTAACCTACTACTTGCTATATTGGTTTCTCTCAGACAAGCACCATACAACCGTGTGTCTGTTTTGAAACCCTATCAATCACAAGCTAGAAACTCAAGAGGAGTTTGGCGAGATGGATAAATAAACTTCGAGAAAACATATGGGGCATTTAAGCATGTACATTTGGATTTTAGCTGGGTTTCAGTTGAAACTCAGTAGTTCCAATCGCGGTGGCTTGTTTTGACCTAAAGCCAGTGCAGTAACGAACAAACATACGTAAATCAGAATTTAGACAGGGTTTCAGCACCTCCAATGAGACAAAACTGTTTTCCCAACCAGCAAAGAGAGCTTCTGAAGAAGTTAGTGTGCAGGAACACACCTGCAATACCTGGTGCCAAATGGCAATTGATTTGCCAAGGGAAGCTGTGAATGCTCCATCCCTGGTGGTGTTCAAGGCCAGGTTGGACAGAGCCTTTGGTGAGATGGTTTAGTGTGAGGTGTCCCTTCCCTTGGCAGGGGGGTTGGAACTGGATGATCTTAAGGTCCTTTCAAACCCTGACTATTCTATGGTTCTATGACATATTCCATGAATCTGTTTTTGAAGCGCTAAGTATTCTAGGGCTCAGCTACCTGTTTGTCTGATATTCAAACACAGACAAATGGTGGTTAGCAAGTAGACCTCTATTTTTTCCCAAGAGGCCTTATTTCACATTTACTAAAAAGAGTCCACCTTTCCTAACATCTGTCTCATTTTTGGAGAAGTATCATTAAGCCATCTGAACAAATCTGAGGAGGTGAAACGCAGCTGTAACCCAGCACTTAAAGCCTGAGCATCTCTGAGCTCAGAGATGGAGATATGATGGAAGCTAAGTGAAGACCGGGCTGCAGTTTCAACAGCCTTGGTTTTGTCTCCATTCCTCCTTCTCCTGCCTATATCTGTGCACTCTTCCCTCATACCAATTCCCAGCTGTGTCTTGGATGTTCATTAAAGACTTGCAAAACAACAAGAACTGAACCAACCTCCTTTTTGCAATGGCAGACTCAGACTTAGCATCCTGACTCAGCTGCAGCCCAAACAGTCTGCTCAAGAAGCTGATGGTGGCACCAGCGTAGTAACCAACAGCACGCCAGAGAGGAGAAGCATTAACCCACAGTCAGCACACCACACCTGCCACACGTCAGGGCATTGGTTAAAAGGCAGTTGTTTCTTGGTCTATTCGTAGAAGACAAACAGCTCTGCGCCAGCTCACACTACAACTTTGACCTCGTACCTTCTCATCTAGTGAAGATACATAATCAAGTGAGGAGAATCCTCTCTGTTCATATTGCATATTTACAGCCTGTGTCATGACACTGTTTGCAGAAGGGATTTCTGTCTACTTGGACAAGCACTTTGTTTCCAGGCTGGGCAAATGTCTCTGCTTTGGGGATGGGGAAGACATCATGAGAATCAACAAGCCTTAATTTCAGTGCCTCTGCAATCTGTGTTGCTACCCTGGCATACCTCAATCTAGACCTAGCCTCTTCATGCACCAGGGTTTTACAATGAGTGATTCAGCTCCCAAACAGCACTCTGCTAGGGCAGGATGAAGCCTTTTGTGCAGCAGCTTCCTCCAGTTTGCCCCTCCCATTGCTCACTCAGCCCTGGGTAAATACTGCTATAGCGTCATGTCATGTAGGTTACTTTAAGTGGAGGTTGCAGGGTTGCATTATACAGCTTAAGGAGGATGTTTGGTGCCCCACGGGCTAGTGAAAGTCTGAAGAACAAGGCTGCTGCAAATACCAAGGGCCAAATCCACTCCTGCCAGCTGCTGCCTCAGCGGTGAATCGTTTCTGAGCCGAAGATTTGATGCTGCTGTGGAGGGGAAGATGGGGTTTGACAAGGACTTGCCAAGTTGCATCTCCTGCGTGCTGCCGTTTCACAAGTGCTGTTTTGCATCCAGAATGGGGACGTGTGCCATGCCTGCTTTCATTCGGGCACGCACCTTGCTGCTCGTGGGCGCAGCTCCAATGCCCTTCTAACTCCTGCTTAAACCCACCCATTCCTCCAGGGATCAACAGCTGGGCTTCAAAATGGAAAGAGACTTTAAAGGAAAAAGTGTTCCCAGCTTGATGCTGGGATCGGTGGGCATCAACCCTTTATTTCGGGATCAGAAGTCAGGAGGTTTGCAGCTTCACCTCCTCTCGACTCAGGCTGCTGCCGCACTGCTGAGCATGTGCCAGCTGCTCCTGCACATACCTCTCGCTGGGGAAGCGAGGTTAAACCCTTCCAAGTACGTTACCATGCCCTTCACCGGCCTCGGTGTCACCAGCCCAGGGAAGAAATCACTGTGTTGGGTCATCTGCTGTTATTATTTTGCATATTGGTGCTTTTCATTCGTATTCCTGTGCTCCATTATTTGGGTTGCACTGTTTCTACCTCTAATGTCACTTCATGTTTGTAGGGTATTTAATTGAAGAGATACATATAATAAGTAATTGAAATACATATATACACTCAATGTCTGTTCAACTTGCTCGAATTAATGCATATATCCTGAATGGAGCATTAGAAAAGATAAAATCACACAGCATTTTCTCATTTTTGGACTGTGGACTTCCTAGTGTATAATGTACTATAAAAAAGGACTTCAGTGGGCATTATATTGTTTTCTACAAAAAATGCAAGGTGGTTATTGTGTTTATGTACCTTTCTCCTGCATTCTTGAAGCAATAGAGGAAACATTTTGGCTGAATTGATTACCTTGTGTCATGGAAGCAGGAGGCAAGTTTGCTTGACTTCTGAAATCCGGGGAGGCCAAAGATGTCAACGGGTGCTCTAATGACAAACAGATCACATTTAGTCAATAGGGTATTTAAACCACGCTACTAATAAATCATAAACCAACCAGGATCAAAGAGCTTGCAGTAGCTGTTGGGTAAGCGCAGACGGCAGCAGGAATCCTGCTGATGGAGTTAAGGTTAAACGCTCAAAACACATCCCACAGATGCAAGGGGCACTCGGAGATGGCTGATGTTATTAATGCTGATCCTTTCACACGGGCTGGCTGTGTGCATTGCTTATTGATGCTTTTATACACAGGGCTCAGTTTAGCTGCTATGGGGTGGTTTAAGCACTTGGTGGTGGTGCTCCCCTGCCTGGCCAGGGCCTTGCCAGAAATGGTCCTGACAACACGCAGCAGGAGGTCGCCTGCTCTTGTGAGTTTTCCTCTCAGCTGCTAAAGATAGATCCCTATAGTTATCCACATGCATGCTCTGCTAAAGAAATGCTATTTATCTTATATCATTAATGAATGGGAATAATGTGCTAGTATTGGGGCAAGGAAAAGCGGTGGGTTTAACTTTTCTATCACACGCACCTCTCTGTCATAATAAGACAAATTTATTCATAGTTGTATGGGGGGGTTATTCCATTTCATAAAAAGGCATAAGAATATTATGGGATATTCAGCATGCCATCTTACATGCTGTCCTGGCATGACAGTGTTAGCAGGATTTGTGTCAAATCACTTCTCGGGTAACTTCATAGCTCCCAGGTTCCTGTCCAGCAGCACATTGGTCCTGTCACTACCAGAGCACACTGACCTTTCCCTGCCTCTGCGTACCTGACATTTAAAGTGGTCAAGCAGAGATCCTGCATATATTGACTGAGTAATAAGGAAGACTTCTTTTTTAACCCTTGCTTGAGGTAGTCATAACAGCTGATGGAAGAGCTGAGGTCTGTAACAAAGCAAGGCAAACACTTTTACTCAAGGCGAGAAAGGCATTTATTCTGCTTTCAAGTGGGTGATTCAAAGATTCAAGAGTGAAAATGCATCACGCTTCATTATCAAATAATCTTTCAATGTACAACTCAACCAAATGGTCCAGTGAGAAACAGGAAGTACCTGAGCTATGTCTGAAATCCCTAGGGAAACAAAGGTTTTGGGGGGAGAAGTTTTGGAGTCTTTGGGACCTCAGTTGAAAAAGTAGAAGTGAGTTACATGGTTTTATCCCATACAAACAGATGCGCCCTATTAGCATGGATGCTGAAACAACATATGTGACTGGTGGTGGCAGCTGCATAGCTCCATCCATGAAGCACTTCAGAGACTGTAACCGTGACAGGAAATTTCAGGGACAGTTTGCACTGAAAAGTGCTCATTGAGTCCTCAAAGAAAATGAGAGGGAGCTAATCCTTGTAATTAAAGGACTGCCAATAGGCTAGCCCGGCACAGCAGAGACACTCTTCTGCCCAAGCAGCATTTATACCCTGAGTGAGAGAAGTCTCACTGTTCATTCCCCAGAAGGGGGGCACAGTACCCCCTGAGAGGGTTAGGAAGAAGGATTAAATCTCCCCAAAGGGCTCCGTGAAGGAGGGGATCCATGAAAGCTCATACAGCCCATTAGCCAAACATACCTGGAAAGGCAGCCAGAAGGTACCTCTGTCTGCTCAGGGATGTTGGGAGGGTGCTGGGCAAGGAGTGACCATTAGCAGCATAAGGAGGTAACCATCACTCTCCAGCTGCTTCCTTTCACAAGCATTTGCGCCTCCTCTGACTGTTCTGAGTGCTGATCTTCAATTTCCATTTCATCTTAGCTTCACCTGCACTAGCAGGGGTTTTGTGGCATCTGGCTGACATAGAAAGACTCCTTACCGAAGATGCAGCACGTCTAAACACCAGGGTAGTGGGGCACCTCGAGGTATGTCCAGCTCCCATTATGTTTCTGCAGAGCGTGCAATTCAAAGCTGCAAGGGCTGCTTTGGGAGATCACCTTGCAGAGGCCAGCAAAGGACAAAGTCTCTCTCAGGGACCCCTGTACCAGGGATGGCTTTCTGGTACCCAGCAGGGTATCGGCCAAACCCTCAGGGCCTGCCACAAACTGTGCTCGCAGAAGCAAGCTTACACAGAAACCCACACTTCTTTCCATGCTGTTTGTCCGCAGTGTTCCTCTGACACACCTGATGTAACCCACTGCTGAACTCCAGCTGCCTCCTACGCGGAGCAATAGGAGAGGCATCTCCAAAGGGCTTCGGCTGAGGTGTGGAGGAACCGATTTCTCTCCCTGCAATAAGCTGGTAATAAGACAAACTTGCAGGGGCAGACCGCGGGTTTGCCAAATTTACACAAATTAAGAATCATCCCATCAGTTCTTTAATTAGGACAAAATGTTGAGATCTTGGCTGTGTACTTAAGCAGAAGGTAGAACCATTAGTGGGGCTGTTATTTTTAATTACCAGTTCAGGGCTGAAAGAGCTATTTCAAATGCCAGCTGACGCATCAGAAATAACACTAAGTGCCCCTCAAGGCAGGAGTTTAATTATGCTTGAGCTTAATTATGATAGATGACATCACTGAAATACCTGTTTATTGTATTTGCCCTGGAATCCTAGTTGCAGAGAGGAGTACATTAGTACCCATCCAGGAACAAGTTTGCAAACCCATTTCTCCAACAGCTGTAGGAACTCACAGACACACCTCTAACACAACCCAGGTTATTTTGTTCTCTAATTTATCCTACCTTCTGAAGCCATGGTGGGGAAAGCTTTGGATGAGGCTTCATTAGGCTTATTGTCTGTGAAGGACAAAAGAAAGGAAAAAAGAAAGATGAAAGCAGCCTTTTAAAGTAGCTCGGCTTTTGTCATAAAGGCTGGAAGTTTAGTTTGGGGTTTATGTCATATTGTGATGACACACATCCTACAACATAGCTGAGAATTAAAGTAATTCTTTCTGTCGCATCGAAGTACATTAACGTCTTTATACAGAGCGCGTCTATCTTAGCGTTGGCATAGCCTGCAGGGACGAATGTAGACTGCTCTAATTGACAGCTCTCCAACTCGAATATCTTTCTACTAAACTGTAAAATGGGTGAAATGAGTCATTTTGGAGGAAAATGATCCTTTATCTCCTTTCCCTCCAAAGCTGTGTTTCCAGAGGAGTAAGCTCTGGCTTTTGATGCAGTCTTTGTGGAAATACATAGCAATGATCGTATCCACAAGTGAACACAGCTGAGCTGCGAGCAGTCACCACACTATGTGATGTACCCGTGGAGGCTGCTAGGGGGTCAGCAGTTCAGTTGTGTTATCTGTGCAGCAAGGAGCATACATAGTAAGAAAGAAAAAGGTGTAACTATGCATTTGCACCTGAAGAGGAGGCATACACAAGAGGGTGCTAAAGGAAATCAGTCTGCCCTTCCCTGCATCCTCAGAAATGACATAAACCTCTGCACGGCCATTTTTCCACACTTCCCTCTTCATTTAGCTAATTCTTATGGGACATGTTATAAGGGAGTTTCTCCATTGTCCAAAATGGCTCAACTGGTTTTGGTTCAACTGTTTCCAGGTGTCACTGGAGATGTACAACGCAGCCCTGATACTCCAGAGAGCTACACTGCACACAGGCAGATTTGCTGCCACGAGTGCTCAGTGAGAAACACAGGGTTATAACATCTCACTAGTGCCATGTGGTTAAGCAAGTGTATTTTGGGGTATGGGAAGTGCAGTAAGATTCAAATAGCAAGCATCTTATGTTTGTGCAGGAGTTTCTTAGCTCATTAAAAGGCTTGAGCTACAAACCACTGTTGGCAAGTTCAAGCTGTGTGATGAACTTGCACAATGAAACTTCCAGAGTCTTGGCATTTCTCTGTATTTTGAATAACAGAGAATACATACGCTTGGTGTTCTTATCATTTGACACTTCAGATGTGTCCTACCTGTGAAAAACCTACCGAAGGAAACAAATATTTCTTTTGATGAAATATTCCATGTTCCATTCCCAAGGAAGGAAAACAGGCACGCACACAAGAACGTCTTAGATGTCTGGTGGGTCCCTTGAAACACCAGCGTTGATCTCAGCTGATAGAAACCTTCACTGTCTTGCGAGTCTTCTTGCTCAATGGAAATTCCTTGGGGAAAGAGAAAAAGAAAAGGAAAAGCTGCAAAAGCCTCTCATTGCACTCCAAACCATAGATGAGAGCTGTGCAAAATACTGGTACTGAAAAGCAAGCTCATATGGCTGCAGGTTTGTTTGCTGAGACACTGTCAAAGACTTGGCAAGAGCAGTGCAGTTATGCCAAGCCATCATTCCAACGACTGGCAATTCCAGGGGGATGTGGCCACAGCCGTTCCCTTTGAGGAGGCCTGATACCCTTCCTTTAATCCCGATAGACACCTATAGGTTCCCCATGGCAGGAGCCAAGGAGCACCCATTGCTTTTCCTGGGAATCTCTTCTACAGCTGCCCCATGATCCTACTGACAGGTTGCATTACCTCCAGGCTGCTCCGTCAAGCTCTCTCTGTCCACGTACCACACAAGGCTTGGCTTGGGAAATACCTTCCTCATGATGCAGGTCACGTTAGGCTATGGGGCAATAAAAGCCAGTCGTTAATCTCAGCCACTTCTCACCTGGCTGCCAGCTTCCAAACTCCCTTACAGACAGAGCTGATTTACCCCCCATCCCACTCGCGTCCTCTTTATTGTTCTACTTCTCTCCCTCATACCCCCTATATTTCTGGTTGCAGACACCACTGAATGAGAGCCAGGGACAGCCCCATCATGATGGGCCAAGTGCAGGGTGATGGGGCTTTCAACACCCTCCAGTCCTGTGCTGTGGCTGGAGAGATGTAGGGTAAGCCCAAACCCTCCTGTTCCTCTCCCAGCATCTCAGTGACAAACACCCACATGGAGAAACACAGGAATCAGCAGTGGGCTGAGACACCTCCTGGTTGGCATCTAAATCCTTCCTGCATTACATAGAGACAAATCCCATGGAAAAAGACTGCTTAGCACAATGATGTGCTGAATGTAGAAATTCAGATACCTTTTTAGAGAGCATGATAAGAGGTTTCCAGAAGTCACAAGGATTTGCTTGCTTTGCATGCAGTAGTCCTGTCGGTATGGTAACTGCTCCAAAAATCTGTGTAATTTCTCATCAAGAAATAGGTGGGAAGGACCTCAAAATCAAGGCTGGATGAAGGGCTGGGTACTAACAGGGTGGGAGGTCTCATCCTCATGCTGCCTGGATGCTCCCAATTACATTTACTTAGCGCATTATGGCACTAAGAGAAATTGCCTTGTGCATTCAAACAATAATTAAAAAGCAAAGAAGAAAGCATGTGCTACCTATGTAGCACAAAGCCCTTTTGCTCCCACTTTCAAAGAAAGAGGCTAACACCTTCAGTTCAAAGCAAACTTGATTCATTACAGCCAACAGAAGTCAATCATTCATTATGAAGACTGAAAATACCTGGCTGAAACTCTTTCCTAGCCATGGTGAATAACCTCTGAATGCGTAATGCATTTGCTTTCCCCTCTTATTTTCATTATTCCCTTATTTTTAAGGCACTTTGCATTAATAATATCTTTATAAATGCTGCCTCTGAAGAAATACAAGTCTGACATCCACAGTAGACTTAAGCCCTGCAAGAAAGGGTGGAAAAGAGAAGGAAAGGAGTTGGTGTGTGTTTGGAGGTGAAGAACAGAGAGTTTCTATTGCCTGGTCCCACGATAGCAGCACCGCTTGTTTGCTCGACAGGACAGTGAAGACAAAAGCCTGCAAAGTCCAACACTACATCTGGAAATAGGTTACCAGGGAACTTTTGCATAACCAGCTGCCTCATGGCTTGTCTGAAGCAGGTGGCTATGGCTGATAAAAGGTTCTGCCTACCCACAAGCATTTTCCAAGGGAAACCTTCCAAATTAACTTGGATGCTCACAGATCAAAAGCTGTAACCCGGATGGATGCAACAGGAAGCAAAGTGCCATACCTGGTAGCCAGAGTGGCTTGCTAGTCAATCATATGGGCCACAAATACGTTTTATGCCAAGTACGGCCAGCGTGGTGCAGCAGACCTTCAGTATTTATCATTACCAAGTATGTGGTAAAACAGAGACCCAAAACCACATGTCTAACTGTTTAGCTGTAAATAGGGGCCCTCAGATCCAGTCATTCCATTGGCACCTGCTTGCTTCAGCTGTGTTGTGCTTGCTCCAGCTGTGCTCTTGCTCCAGCTGTGTTCTGCTTGCAGCACAACATGAGCATCACTCATTCATTTAAACACGAGCATCACTCCCACAGCACCTGCTCCTCCCTGTCCCAGTGGGGTTGTGTGGCAGATGGGGGCTGCCACTGCCTGGCCCCTTGGAGCAGCATCCCAGGTAGTGGGTGACTTCTTCAGAGAGGGATTTAAAGCCCTGTGGAGAGGGCAGCTCGAGGCTGCCAGGTGGTTGCTGGCAGATGGGAAGGGAAAAGAAGCATCACAGCCTCCTGTAATATCATCAGCTCCTCACAGCCTCTCGATCGTGTCCAGGAGCCTTCACATGAGTAACACAAACCCAGATTTTGCCCACATACCAGGGAAGCCCTTAGCTAGCTCCAGTTTGTCCTCACTGGAGCGGCTCACTGCTGTGGGGACGGAAATCATTCAGAAGAAAGGGCATGGATGGCTGATATTAACTCATTGACTTGCTTGGTCTGTTTGGAGGTCCCTGATTCAGCTTAGCTTGGCTGGCCCTGCCGGGGTGGCACAGTGGTGGTCACAAGCATTATTCTTCACTCACCTTGTCTGAAGTGCCAGCAGCACCCTCCTGCAGGCCAACAGAGATCTCGGGGTAGGCTGGAAAGCAAACAGAATTGCATTAGTTAAGTGGATGACACGGGTCACAGTAACAGCTTCTATTAAGGCTTAACAGCCTCGTTTCATGAAGAGTGGAAATTAAAGCCTACATCCACGCACACATCCAGCAAGATAAAAGCCTGCACAGCTCCGATTTGAGGTTGAGGAAGGGGTTTCCAAGCACGTACCAGTAGCTGCTGCCACAAGATCTATCACGTATGTCGCTGCCTACCTGAACTACTCTTGGGTGGCTTTGCTGGAGAAACCATCCTGCAGCCATGGCTCTGGCTGCAGAGCCACCCTTCATAGGCCTGCTGAAGTAAAACACTTCCCACTTGTTGGTTGCTCTGGGTGTTTGCCAAAGTCACCTATGAAGGCTTTAGGCATCCCCAAAATGACTGATTCGCATAGCAATGACCACCCCCGTGCAGTTGCGGGGGAAGATGTGTGGCAGTGTCAGACTACAGATGCTTCCTGCCTTGCTGGGAAGCCCAGAGCTCACCTTCACATCACAGCAGCGGGTTTCTGATGGCCACCACATGCACTACAGATGGAAAACGTCTTTCCTTTTGTTTCCATAGCATTTTGGTTCTAGGCATGGCTGACTCTCTAGATAAAAGTCATCAGGTACGGTAAGCCTCTCTAAGCTGGCATTAGCCATTGGGGCTGCTGGTTTGCAGTGCTATTAACTGACTTGTTAAGTAAGGACTGTTGAAACTGTGCTAATATACAGTAAATCTCAAAAGTCTTGGATAAAGACTTGGATAAAGACTTGGATAAAGGTTGGACAGAGCCTTGGGTGACATGGTTTAGTGTGAGGTGTCCCTGCCCATGGAGGGGGTTGGAACTGGATGATCTTAAGGTCCTTTCCAACCCTAACTAGTCTATGATTCGAAATTGCACTTCTGTCCCTTTCTGAGCCTTAAAACTGGACTGGAAACAAGTGCAGCCCCTTAGGAGATCCAGGCTAACCCTCACTTTAATCTTTGTCATTAAGATACTTTTTTCCCCCTTTTTTACTAACCCTGAAGTTACCCTTTTTCCCCCCCACCTTCTGGTTTGTTTTTGTTTGGTTTCTGGTTTACTTTGGTGGTTTCTTCCTCTCAGAAAATGGATGCCTTAAGATTATATCCTTGTTTCTGCTTTGCCAAAACTGTACAGGTGGTAGTGGGGCCGGCGAAAGACAACCATACTTTTTCAGCTGCAAGAAAAGATCTGGTACACTGGATCTTCTAATCTCAGCTGAAAGTTGGCTGGGAGACTAAATAAAACCTCATCTAGTGCCTGCTCTTCCTTTTGTTTTTTTGATGATGAGAACAGGCACCGCTGAATAAGAGAATACCAGGTTAGAAGGGACCTCAAGGATCATCTGGTCCAATGTTTTTAGGCAAAGCATGACCTAGACTGGGTGTCCCAGCACCCTGTCCAGCTGAATCTTAAAGTATCCTAACGCTGGGTACTCCACCGCTTCCCTGGAGAGGTTATTCCAATGGTTCATTGCTCTCACTGTGACAAATTTGCCTCTTGTGTTGAGGCAGAATCTCCTGAGGAGTAACTTGTGCCCGTTACCCCTTGTCTTTTCCATGGGACTCCTTGTAAAAAGGGGTCCCCAGCTGTGTTGTAGTCACCCTTTAAATACCAGAATATGGTGATAAGGTTTCCCCTGAGCCTTCTTTCCTCTAGGCTGAACAAACCCAGTTCTCTCAGCCTTTTTCTCACACACCAGGCTTTCCTGTCCTCTGATTATCTTTGTGCCCTTCTCTGAACCCTCTCCAGCCTGTCCACATTGGTTTTGTATAGCCAGGACCAAAACTGAGCACAGTATTCCAGGTGTTGCCTGGCAAGCTCTGAGTAGATGCAATGCTTCTCCACATCTGTACAGGATGCTGCCCTCTGCTTGCTTTGAAGACATTTGCTGGGTAACTGTTCTGGCAGGCAGCTCTCAAGCACAGCTCTGAAGGATCCAATAGATCTTTTCCACTTAACATCTCCAGCCCCTGTTAATAGTTTGACGTTCATTTGTCTTGCTGGGATATTTACCAACATTTTGGGTCTAGCAGAAATTCAATATTCAGCGCAGCAGTTTCTGCTGCTGAGCTCTTACAAAAAGGAGAAATCAATGTGTGGCAAAGTTAGACGTGAAAAGAGCATACATTTTCTCAGAAACTTGTATTTAAAAGGACTCTGTTATAGAAAAGAAATACTTTAAAGTGTTTCAGCCCAGAAGTGCCCTCTTAAAAAAAGCTTTCTTGATTGAATGTCTGTTTTCACTCAACCTACCAAGCCTCTCAACTTCACTGAGATTTGTTCATGCCTTCCTCATCCTCTACTGCCCCACTCTCAGGCACACTCAGGCCATCTCAAGCCTCTGTGGGGAAGCATCGCTTCCGCTTCTCAGGCTTGGGCTGTGTTTAGCCCTGCAGCTTTTATCAGAGGGATCCGGCACAAGGAGCTTCCCGCAGGTGACAGACCTTCCCTCTCCTCCTCCTGCCTATTGCAGCACCACGGTGCACTAGCTGCCTGCCCTCCCTGCCCTGCTTTTGTGCCACCCAGCCCATGTGGTTCAATTGCACGAGTGTTTGGGTGATGGGGTTGTTGGCTTGCTAAGATGGGAGAACCTCCCCAGGTTTCAGTTTGCCTTTGTTCTCCAGCTACATCATTGCTAATGGCCAGGATGAGAGATGTAACCAATACAATGTGCTGTTGACACTGTGTGTGCTTACTACTGAGCTTAGCATCCTGCCTTGGCTATTTGAGCCTTCATATAACTCTGCTCTTGGGATACCTGCGAGAGAGGCTGACTGCACAGCGCCCCAGTCCAAAGCCAGCCAGCCCTTACTGGGAGCATCACAGGCAATTCACCACCAAGGGCCACAGTTGCTTTCTCCTGTTTGCCTCTCTGTGCTGTTGTACTGATCTGAGTGCATGCACAGACAACCATACATGACACAGTAATTCAGACAATAAGCCAAATAAAACAACCTCTTTGGGCAGCAGATACCAGCATAACAGCAAAAGCATCAGTAGGGATGAAGGGGAAGGAGAGCTCAAGTATGCTAGTATACTTGAACAATTACCCAGGTAACACTGTATCTAGTTGACAAATGCTGATTTGCAAAAGTAAAACCCATCTCTGAATCATACAAATGCAAGAGGAAATTTCAGATCATTAACTTCTATTTTTACTTCTCTTGCATCAGTGACCAACATCTCCCAGACACAGGTTTTACTGGGGTTTTTTCTCTTGCTGCTCCCTGTTGACAGACCCACTGTTTAACACCCATTCGGTTTTGGGGCATTGGAAATATGTTTTCCAGAGACACTGCTCAAAAAGTGGGCAGCATTTTTCTGATTCAGTTGTACCTCAACAATTGTAGAGTAGCTCCTAAGACACTAGAAAGGGATTAGAGCAAGGAACTAAAGATGGGGAAGTCTTCCATCATGAAATGCCAGCCCACACTTTCGTGCTACACGGGCCCTGCCATTCCTAAGCAGTTTGAGACCCACAGGCAGGACTTCACTTTCAGATCCAGAGCCCTTGGCAGTAGTTGAACACCACATACCTTCAGGGATGTGGCACTGCAGTAACAGTAGTTCCAAAACACTTTACCTGCTTGCTACATTTTGGCTGTGATTTCCTAACACAGGCAGCATGGTCATTTTGCACTGGGGCATGGAGGTCTTGATGACCAAGGTGCTTACCTGTAACCTGCAAAGTGCCAACATAAGCTTACACATCAGGGTGAGATAGTGGCAATGTGCATGCCAGTGGTGGTGATATAAACGCAGTGGTTCCACATCAGAAGTTGGAGGAATGGCCTCAAATTCTTCCTAAGAATCACGGGGTTATTTATTAACATTTTAACTCAATGCAGCTGAAAAGAATGTAATGTCAATATTTATATGTAAAAAAAACTCAAACAGCGTACTTCAGAAGCTACTGCTTTCAGAACCAGATAGGAGTGTTACCTTTCCAAGTGCAAGTGAATGGGCAGCTGGTGTAAGCCCCTTACCGAATACTCTCACAGTGGTGCTGCTCTTCTGGACTCTCTCCGGATGGGACACCACATGGCAGGAGAACACCTTGCCATCGTCTGTGATTCTGATGGGGAAAATCTTTAGAGCATTATTCAAACCCAGGTGGAATCTCTGCCCACAGAGCATGCTGCTGTTCCTGTACACTGCAGCACAGGAGGGCTCCTTGGTTACAAGTTCCTCTTTCGTGTCATTTTGCTCCTGTAAAAAGAGCAAAAATAGGTGAAGACCAGAATCTCTTCGTTCCCCTATCTATTTTTATAGATCAACCCTATTCCCACTATGAAAATCTTCCCTTGCACCCCTAGCATTGCATAGCAGTAAGGGGACATTTACAACTTCTATTTCTTTCCAAATACGCTCTCTCTCAGAAGTTCAAAGTCAATAGTAGTCATCATCTTACCAATAACTATAGAGTAAATAGCCGTGCCTTGTAAGTCCTGATCTCTGTAGCCTGCAGAGAGGGCATCAGGGCCGCTTTCTCACTGCAGCAATCTAAGTTATGCTGAACATCCTACACACAGTAAATATGACTGAAATTCCAAGAAAAACCTTGGGGTTTTAGATTTTAAATAGTGAGAACCTGATAACGATATCTAAAAGTCATCTTTTAATGCCTAAGTGGCAGCCACCCTTAGATATAGGTGCAACCTGCACATCCTGGATGTCTGTGCCTCAGTACGTATTTGCAAGCTGTACTCTGAATGACTCATGGTGACCCACATGTATCATCATGCTGACCTTTGGGTTCTTTCCCCTTCACTAAAAAGTAGTAAGGGCAAGGATGTTCCCTTCAAAGAACTGGTAGAACTTTAATCTGAAGAATGCACTGCAAAAGGCAGCTCTGGATAGAAAATGAGCCAGGACAAAAGACTGAAAAGCCTAAAGCACTTGTAAATCACCTTTAAGAAACCCCTCAACAGTTACAGCACCTCAGTGACAATAAATAGAAATGAACAGGGTCAAGCTCAAGGATACTGATGGCTGGTACTTATCTCTACGTACTGAGATTAATACTAAAACATTCCATTAAAACACACACATGCAAATATTTATCCAGAGAGTGGGATGCAGTACAGAAATATAAGGAGCTTTATAGCTCACAGCAAAGTGTTTAACATAATATTTATGTGGTTAGCTAGAGAACCGGGTTCGCATGTGTCGGCGTGTATTTGTGATACAGAGGTTAACCAAAACATTGCAGTCACCTCCTTTTTCTCTTTTTCCTTTCTGTTTCAAAGCTGCTTGATATCTCACTACCCTACACGGTAACCCTGTGTTTTTCAGAGATACCAAAGCTTCACTACAGCAAAAATCCCTGGGAAATCCAACATAAGGAATAGTTTAGCTCTATTTGGCCCTTTCCACATACCTGTTCTACAGGCATTACTGAAAAATTAAAAGCAATTAAGATGGAGTTTTGCCTCTCTGCTTCTTGAGCAGCTATTGTTTGGGGTGTCTATGTTGCAAACCCGTGTTTGTACTTTTCCCCTTTGTTATCGCAGTCCAACATGACCAGTATCTTTTGTTTGGCAGGTTCTGCAGGACGCAATAAAGTCTATTTCCATCTGCCAAACTACCCTGTAGTTCCTTCTGGAATGTAAGCCTGAAAGGAAGAACACTTACCACCAGCCATTTCAAAGGATAATGGGACAAACTTTCTGAGGCCGTGTCCCCAAGGCATGGAATTTCTAAAGTCTGGTTTAACCACACTTCCTTCACGTCGTGCTGCTCCTCTTTTATCATTGCAACGACAGCAAAAAAAGCCAGAGAAGGAAAATCAGAAACGTGACATGCACTGTGCTTTAGAAAACAATATTGACTGGTCTACTGTTCAAGGAACAGGCACTTTTTTGATTACAAGACTACTGTAATTTTCAACCATTACCCACAGGCACATATGGTAAGTGAAATCTCTGCATCTGATTCTAGATGCAGTTGCATGACTAATTCATGGCTTCACCTGAAACTTTGGGCATTTCACGAAAACCAGTGCTTCAATTCAGGATCAAGGGGTCTCATTTTGGAGCTGAGAGCAAGTTGAAGCTTCAATTTTTCTCCTTTTTTCTTTCCTTGGCAATAAACCTTCACATCAATTTTGCGCGCTTGTATTTCCTTTTCTCTGTAAACCTCCTTTCACAAAGCAAGGTGCTCAGCACGTCAGGCAGGTTGAGATTAACCCTGGTTTTCAGTGTAAGTGCTCCTGTTGTTATTCTCCAACCTGCCCATTATCAGGAGCAGAGAGCTTGCCACTCTTTCCTTTGTCATCGGTTCATAAAAGCATTTGGATACCTCCTACCCTACCCCATTCCCAGTCCAGAGCTCCAGACCTCCTGTGGAAGGGTCAGGGTGATGCACTGATCAGAACACAGCAGTGGTCCAAGCATCAGGTCTGCATGTGTGTGTGCACTGAAACAGGAAGAGAAGCGGTGATGGCCAGGGGATGCTAGGGGTGCCTTGGTGAGCATTAATCCCTCTGACCATTAGTCTGACCATTAGTGGCCACACCATGCAGCCTGCCCTGGTGCCATCACTGTGCTGCCCAGGCCTGCCTTCCCTCTTCTTCTAGGCAGGTACCTGCAGACACCACTGGGAAACTCCTGAACTTCGCTCCCCTGGTAGCTCTACTTGTCTGGTGAGATAAAATAGATGCATACTCTAACTACCTGTTTAATCTTGAGGGGAAGGGCAATATCTAACAGGTCTGGACTGTTTGGTAGTGGGGACTTGCTGGTGACTGTAACTTCCTATATGTCTGGCAACCAAGCACAGAGTGACACTGCAAGCACACAGCCTGAGCCGCAGGGACACAGAGAAAGGCAGTGCTCAGTGGAGCCCAGGAGACCCAGTGCCAGAAGCAGCTCCTCTCCCCTTTCCACCAGAGACAAGCAGTTGAGGAGCCAGCTATCACAGTGGGACAGGGCATGCACAAGCACTAAAGGGGCTGGATAGCGCAGAAAGGAAAGAGAAAGGGCAGAAAAAGCAAATTCATGGCTTCCCAAGAAGAAAACAGCACAGGAGACTTTGCTGGGACAAGTTACTGTGCAAATGTGCCATGGAGCATGCAGGAAGTATGAAGATGCGTAGCTGCACCAAGAGTTCAGCCTGCAAAGAGCCTCAGCCTGTTCTCACAGTCACGTTTCCCAGGTGCTGTTTCCCCTGTCTTTGATTCCCATCTCCATTAACAGCATGTTGGCTAAGGTCCTCCCTGTTTGTCAGTCCTACCTAGGCCTGTTGCTCTGTGGGCTTTGCAGTGCCTCCAAGTTGAATCCATCTGGATTCACTTCACTTTGATGTAGTCGGGTGCTGTACTTCATTGATGACTAGTACTCCTCTCCGCCGCACTTGTAGGCTGGATTGAGATCATTTGCCTTTTTGAAGTGATTTATTGCAGAAGATCTGGTTACCTTAAAATACAGATCTTCAAGAGGTATGTTGAGAAGTGATTTTTCTTAGTTCCCTCTAATCAAGCAGTTACTAGTAGCACAGCTTGCTACATCATGTAGGTACTGAAATAAAGCCACAATGACGGCTGTATGAATAAGAACTGCCCACGTTTAACATGTAGACAACAATAACAACACTGAGCAGGCCAGTATCAACAGAGAGCACCAGCAAGAGAAAAGGAGCAATGCCTAATTAGCACTATTATTGTATTAAGGAAGAGACAAACTGCATGAAGAACAGAAGCTGCATGTGGTTACCAGCACTACTTGTACCAGGATAACAGCACCAAAGTGCTTTAAGCCACTGCCATGCAGGTGCCATCAGGGAGCAAGGGTTTGGGGTGAATGTCTCTGTGAATGAGGCTTGCACAGGGCCTCTTCCTGCTGCAGGATGGATGCAACCCAGCATGGGGACCTATGTCCCTCCTGCCACTAGTCTGGCCTCATACAGGCCAAAGAGGTGGTGGGAGCACTGCTACCCTCTGCTACCCCAACATCACCTGCACCCACCCTGCTCCTCACCTTTGAATGGGTGCTGTATCTACAGTCCTGGCCACAAGCAGAGCGAGCACGTTGGCCTTGCAGCTCTTAACTGAAATCATGCCAGGATTTAGTTTAATCCTTCTTGGCTTGTTAACAGAAACCTGGGTCAGGAAGAGGTTTCTGGGGGCCATCAAATTCAGTCCCCCATGTGCACAACAGCAAGCTTGCCCAGCATCCCTGCCCAGCTCCATCTTCACGGCAGTTTGGACTTTTGCCCTCACTGCTGGCATTAAACAGCTGTTCCCAAATTGCTGCACTAAAGGGTTGCCACTCTTGTTTAATTTGTAGTCAAATCCACTCACGTCCTGTTTAAACCCATTTGTCCCTTTGCCAGGATAATTTAAATATCCTTCCTGGAGTTCACACTCTCCCCTGAGGCTTACTTACCAAGAGCAGTCATGATGCTTTCCAGCATCCTTTTGGCTGACAGAAGCAGCCACATCTCTGTTCCTGTGATTGTTTCAAGCAATTCCCCGCTTTGCTCCAGTTTGTTTTTCATGGTGGGACACATCCCTCCATGGAGCTAACACCTAGCATGCCCAGCAGATGCCAGCTCTTGGCCTCAACCAGACTAGGCTGTTTGTCTCTCTCTGGTGCTCAGTGCTGCATGCCCATAGTAGCAGAACAGCATGGTTTGGAGATCCGGCATCCTCCTTCATCTCAGCATCCAGTCATCTCTGCAGCATTTTTCTCCATAATGAAAATGTAGAAACTGCCCATCTCACCATTCCCATCTAACTTTGTATTCCTCCAAATAAATAAGGTTTCCTAATCATGAGCTAGGTAACAACAGCTAGAGAGCGCCTGGTAAGTAGGAAACTGTGTAGGCAGTGCTGTTCAGTGGCACCAGTGCAAACCCCAAAGAAGTCACCATCAAAGACTAAGAAATGTTAATGACATTCCCCCACCCCGTTACCCCCATCCCCTGTTACAAAAACCCCAACATCCCATTCATAACCACTTACCTTCTGCCTTGACAATAAGCTGGATTTTTGCAGCCTTTGTCCCATAAGGGTAAGTAGCAAAACTGCACTCATACTGCCCGCTAAGGGAAATGGTAATGTTTTTCAGATGCAGAGCCCACCGACTGCATTCGGACTTGGCATTTGGATCAGGGGAACACAAAGCCTCTGTCTCATCCCAGCTGCAGCAGCTCCCCGTGCTGAAGGACACCGAAAAGTTGTAAGAAGCCTCAGGAAAGGTGAAGTAGTGGGTGCCATAAACAGGGTGATAAACAGCTATTCTGGTAAGCTGTGTGTCATCAGTCTTGGACCACTGTGTCTGTATGATGTAGGTGGCATGTGGTTTTGGGAAGCCGCATACCAGGGTCACGTCGGTACCTGGCAAAGCCTGGACTACTTCTGTTTCTGTAATGACATCTTCAGGCTGGCCTTAAAAGCAAATGGGACAATTTTCAGTGCAAGTAATGTTTAAACAAAGCTTCTTCCTAGGCCATCTTTGATGTGATTTGGTTCCTTAGGCACAGGCAACCACGCAGACCCTGCAACTGTAGAAATAGGCTTTGCAGGGAAGAGGTTTACACATCTCCACCGGCAGAGGCTTCAGAGGGAGAACAGGGAGAGCAAACACACGGTTGTCTGGAAGAGGGCAGGGAGCTCCCATCACACGCACAGGAGAGAAATGGGAACCCTGAGTCCCTCTGTGAAAATGGAAATCTTTCCTGTGATATAAATAAAGCAGAAGCCAGGCCCAGTTATGCCCCAGCAATTTTAGCAAGAACAAATGAGTTATCCCTGCTGGCTGATTCTGCCCTGCACTGTTCCTCCTGTCCATTATCATTGTCTTCACTGCTGTGACAGAGAAACCTGTCCTTCTACCTCTGCGTTATTAAACAGCTCCTGCATGACCTGAACAAGTGTCTGTTTCGGCGTCAGAGCGAGCTGTATGGTTTCTTCCTCATTTAATTTCATACAACATGTTGGCAGTCCTTAGTGTGCCATATAAAGGAGTAATGGATGGGTGAAATGAAGGGGCTTTCAACGGGAGCCTATACTACTCAGTTTCTCTGCTGCTGTAGTAACATTGATTTCTCGCTGCTTCTCCCTCCTATGAACAAGAAGCTCACAGTCCCCAAATCCCTGTATGGAGGGCACTGACACACTCAAGGAGATGAAGAATTTATGGATGGGGTGTTGTAATAATCAGACAAGTAATCAGTCATAGCCACAGAGCCGTTTCCAAAGGAGCATATGAGTCCCCATTAAAAAATGTGCTTGTGCAGATGTTCTTAGGTACAGACTTGCTGCTCCCTGTATCCATTGGATTTTATCCTGTGTATCGAAACAACACTGCAAATTTGCTTTGGGAACGTGCCCCACAGTCCCACCAGCCATGCTGCTGACTCCCCATGGCAGCGAGTGCACGCTGCTCATCTTCCTTACTTGCTAAAGGTGGGTACCAATTTCTTTGCTTTGACATCTGCTTTACCCCGTGGTACAGGGCTCTGGGATACCTGAATCCAGGGACCCTCCCAGGGACCAGGCAGCCTCAATGATGCCTGCAGGTGGCCTGGTGTGCCCCATACTCGGCCAGCACAGTCAGGAGTGAAACAGGGACCTGGTGCACCCGCAGCTCTGGTTTGACAGGAAAGAACAAGGGCACAGTCCCATATCCCTGCAGAGCTGGCTGAGATGTGGTACCTAAGCACTGAAGGGTGACATGAACTAGGTGCATGGAGAGCAAAGCTACTGGATGGCCATGCCCAACACTAATCTCATTATTTTTATTGCTGTGCATGCTCTGCTCATCTTTTAATTGACTCCCAAGAGATGGGATAATGTAAAAGGGCAAATAAAAATAAGCCTGAGTGACAAGTGCTGTGAGAAAAATTACTGAAAACTATTTCTGTCAGTCCAAAGAGCTTATTATAGCAAGTGCTCATTGATTTCAGTGCAAGTTTTGCATCAGGAAAAGTTGAGGAAAAAGCCATTAGCAATCTTGCAATCAGACTAACCAGCAAGGGCCACCTAGCAAATTAGCTCTCATATTCATACCAATGCTGTAACAAGTTAAAGGACCATGTGAAGAATGCCTACCAAGAGTTACTGGAATAAATTTACATGAAGATGAAAACATTACACATGTAGAAACAACATTTAATTTGTGTTGCTCGTTAGTAGCCTCGCACTATTGTTTTAACTGAAACCCATTAATGTTAAAGCGTTCTTAGCTTTTTGTTAGCATCTCAGTATAATGAGCCTCATTTTATGCCAACTTGATTTTTCCAAATGCAGCTGCCCATACTTGTGCTCCATTTGAAGCTTAATAGAGTAACTCCCAAACGTTTACACGTCTGATCTCCATCAAGGGCACAATGGTGTCCATTTTCACCTTTGAGTGGTTTCAGTGAGGATTTCATCCTCAGAGGAAAAACCCAGCAGTCCTATTCATCCCTAAAGAGCATTGCTTTCCTGCATGTGCATGTCTTGAGGAGTCTAATTCTTTCTTATTATGCTTTTCTTTTGCATTTGAGAACTTTCATTTCCTATGAATACACATACTAAATACATTCTTTTAAAATCCATTTTGCCGCAGTGATGTAGGAAAATAGGAGGAGGTTTTGAGATGCATCTTACCACAGCAGTCAAACACGTTAATTTGTTCCTTTCTTAATTGGAAAAAACGTGTATCCTACAACGTTCTTCTTCCTAGCTGGCAATAAGCACTGCTGCATTCAGCGTGGCCAGTCTGTTGTAAGAGTTCTGTGTGGAGGGGGTTGTGAGCATCAGGCTTTTCCCTGGTTTTCCTTAGATTGTTCTGGTTTAAACTCCCTTGGACGAGGATGCGTTTCTCCTTACTCAACTTTCCTGACACTTTTACTCCCACTGACAAAATTGTTTCTCCTGTTTCTCAAGCTTTTTAACACAGCACATAGGGCTAGGTGGGGAAGACGACGGGAAGGATCTATTTAAGGGGCCACAGCAGTACAATTTACTCTTGCCTTGAAGTGTTTCACCTCTTCCTCTCTCTGCGTACACAGGTATGCATGTGTGTGTAAGAGAGAGATTTTTTATTTGCTCTTTATAAGCAGTTTTCCTGTTTGCCCATTGGAGATGAGCACAAATTGCCCTAAATACAACTGAGCTCATCTCAGTGATAATTCTGGGGAAAAAATGGTATTTTGAATAAACTAATCTGCGTGTCAGTGCAACCCATTTAGTCCTTACTGGCTGCACGTTGTCACTGGGCTTAGTGGAAAATTGTCAGGAAACAAAATCATTGCTAGCAGCTACAGCTTGCCCTACCGAGACATGCTGAGCCCAGCCTGCACTTGCCACCCTGCCCCTTGCCACCCTCTGTCATCAGCTGAGTCAAGGGGGCCCATTGACATGCTTACCTGCACTGCTGGCCACCAAGAGCAAACAAAGGAGGGAGAAGAGGCACCTTTTTCCCATCCTCACCCGACGATGCTTTGGTAAACACGTAGCTCTCTTGGCCTGCTCCTTGCAGCGTCTCTGAAAAGGAAGTTGAAATGGTCTGCCCCGTGCAGACAGGCAGATGTGCAGCACAGTCATGCTCATCGTTTTAGTGTGACTTCAAAGCAGATGTGAAAGCCTCAGTTTCCTGCCACAGCGATAGAATTAGCACATCTTGTGAAACCTTTATGTTGAAAACACTACCTGTACTCTAAGCCCATGTTGAAGACCTGTATTTTTTGTACTTTGTCTTTTCAAATAAGCTCAGAGTGAGCAGTTTACTGGTTTGCAATCTCTCAAACACTTGTCTGGTGACTAAGGTTGAATATAGGGTAGGTAGTGTACAAAAAAGGGGACTTTCTTTGCCTGCTTCATTTCCTTCACTGTGTTAGTCCAAAATAGCTCAATTATGTTATTCTTACATTCTCTACGCTCAGGTTAAAATTATGCTGGGTTTAAAAACCCCGGCGTAACAACAAAACCAATGCCCCTACATTAAAACAGAATAAATTGAGAGTTTTCCAACTTCACCTTACTTATTCTTTCTGTTTTGTTTTTTTTCCTCCAGAGAAGGAGACCATTAATTATTTTGAGCAGGATGAAGAATTACAGCACCGCACAACACCATCACTTGGTGTGGTTAACCCCTGTTCCTACCCCATTCAGCTGGTAGCTTTGGTAATGGCAGCACCCTCAGGCATGGACTGGTTCCTGCCAGTCCTGTGACCTGTCTTTATTGCAGGACAAGTGTAAATCCTTCCAAACTGTCCTTGAAGCACATCGTGTTTCATGAACTAGGCATACACCTATCAGTTATGCATCTCATTGGAGGCAAGTGCTACGTAAACTGGACCTTGTGTTGTGGCTTTTCAGAAAGCCAATTACAGCCCATCCGTCAGGGCATAGAAAGCCTATGTGCTGGATCATGGAATCGTAGAATGGTTTGGCTTGCAAAAGACCTTAAAGCTCATCCAGTTCCAACCTCCCTGCCATGGGCAGGGACACCCTCCACAAGACCAGGTTGCTCAAAGCCCCAGCCAACCTCATAGTCCCTCAAAGAGGCACCTACATCCACTACCAGTGCCCTCCCTTGAGTGGCTGGTCCACAGCTGTATGATGGGAGTCTTGACATGTTGTTTCTGAAACAACTTATAGGAGACCTCGGTGCTTTTGTTGGCCGCTTTCTTCAATGATAATCCTCTCTGCACCTCAGACAAGGCCTATGGAAAGCGCCAGCTGCCACCTGCAAACTTGCTTCCAACCACTTTGCATTTCCTTCCCCTCTGCCTGCTTTCACTGACCATGGAGCTCTCCATAACTCCACCATGCAAGGCACAGAGCTCAAGGTAAAGCAAAACCTCACTGGTCATGTCTTTATTTTATACACTACTACAGCATCTATACCACTTCCTTAATTTGTCCATATGCAATCTCTTGTTAGTGTGTTTAAGCAGGCTAAGGTCTTCAGCTGGAACAGCTTATAGTGCTGGCCAGGCTATGGTCAGGCCTCCAGACATGTCTTTAGGGGATAAATGCTGCTGCATAGTGCTTTTCTGTTTGCGTTGCTCCCCTACCTGAGGAAATGTGCTAAAAGCAGTCATAGTACTGGATGCAGGGGTTACTGCTAAGGGAATTGTCTCTGAGGATGAAATCTCTGCTTGTCACTCAGAAGCCTGACAGAGAAAGATCTGCCTCAGAGGATCAAGAAGTCCTGAAGTTGAAGACGAACAGAATATTCAAGCCATTGTAATTGACAGTCACAGAAGGGAGTAAATGTTATTAAAGATGCATGCTCTGGTTTCCAGTTCAGAGCAGAGAACACAAAGAACCCAGGGTTTACCTGCAGATACTGGAGTCCAACAAAATTGGACTTCAGTTTAGAATTTGGGCTTTCATTAGGGAGTGCGGTTACCTTAGCTTCTCCTGCTGATCAGTTCATGTAAGCTTTGTACCACCAGAGAATGTATTTTGTGTAACGTGGAAGAGAAAAAAGTCTCAGATGAGCCTTTTTATTGATCTGAAACATGTATCACCGTTCAACAAGACAGCCCAAGTGCCATGTGGCATATTCAATAGCCACAGAAATTCCTGAGCAGCTTGTTTGAGTTAGAAGATAGCTGTGTCTTGCCCTTAGAATTTGTTTCCCCCCTTAAAATAACATCCTAAAAATACACTGCTGCCACGTTGCATTGTGTTGGCTGAATGCAGCCACCCAGTGTAGTCGCTGTGCTTAGAGATGAAAGACAAGAGGGAAACCTCCCAGCTCAATGGGTTTTTATTCACTTCAGAAATGTGTTTTGCCCCAATTCCTACCTTAATCCCAGAATCTGAAATAGTCATTCACCCCTCTGCTGACATGAATGTGAATGAACAGCTAAGCCCTGCCTCTGAACACGACATCAAGAAACACTTTTGAGACACATCGCTTAAGTCTACTGGCAGGGATCCATCTCTTCCTAGGGAAGACACATGCCCAGGCACAGTGGACCTCATTGGCAGCTGGAGGGGGGACATATCTGTAATTGTCTTTTCCTTGACGGGGCAGCTGCAGGGATGTTTGTCTCAGAGGCGGGATGCAGGGCTTTTTCCATCATGGTACGTGCGCTGTTCCAGAGAGACCCAGAAACCATTGCAAAGCTAGGAGGTTTTAAAGGAAATGAGGCTACACCCGGACAAACAACATGTTGTCAGGGCATACGTGAAGCACAATGCTTGCTTTTGGCCTGGACAAGCAGCTGGCCTGACTGGTCCTCCCCTGCATCCCAGGCGGTGGCAGCACCGGCAGGATCCGATGCGCTATGAGCATCACACATGTCAGGGCCCTCACAGTGCAGAGTGGGGCTCTGCCCAGTGCTTAAGGATGCCTCTGCTGCCTCATGAGATGTTTTTTTTGAGCTCTATAAATGACTCTTTCCATGGCAATCACCCCTATTATGCATCACACTCACAAACCCCTCGACTGCGACTGTGATACAATTCTTCTGCCTCAATCACGGCGAGCTGCACCTAAGAAGCAGAGCTGCAGTCAGTCCCACAGAAGAAGAAATCCTCATCTCCAGAGACAAATTCAATTATTCACAAAGAGTGCCTGTTCAGAAATGCTAGTGTGCGAGCTCTTCCTGCCAGAGGCGAGGATGATTACCCTTGCAGGCTGCTGGCCTCTAAACACTGCTTAAAGAAAACGCTGCTCCCCAGTGAAAGAAAGATGGAGACTTTGAAGCAGGGATTTCATGAAGGAGTGAGCTAACCTTTAGGGTTCGCTTGGTGCTTGGCACAGAAACTCCCACTTTGTCACTGCGGTTTGGTTTTGGACTTCTTTGGAAAGCATCCTAATAACACTGTAGCTGGCAGGCAACTTTGTCCATGGCACCCCATGGAGGGATGGATGATGGGGTGGCAGGGGGTCAGCACGGCGAGGGGCAGCAGGATCCCCACTGGGCTTTTTCAGTAACCTCGTGCTTCCTCTGTTGCCCCTTCCCTCCCTTAGCTCTTGTGCCTCTCTCCTGCTTGCAGCACTGCCTCTTCTATGTGAAGGAGGAGGAAGAAGAGGGTTTCTCATTCTGCTTCTTCACTCTCCTCCCTCGTGGTTGCACACACACATCCACAGGCTACGTTTGACATAATGCAGCCCCGTTTTCTGCCAGGGTGTTTAAGCAGCATGGCGGGGCGTACGTGCTTCCCTCTCAACAGCACTTTATACATCCAGAAGATGTGTAAAGACCTGAACGGACTTTTTTTCCCCTCCTCTCTCACTGACAGCTCAAAGTAAGAAAGACAACCAAGAACAGCTCACTCCCAGCTGCCTCCCAGCCCCAGCCCTGCCTGCACTGGTACTGGGGCTGCTCCATCACCTTCCCACCCATGCTGCCGCTGCTCCCAGTGCCAACACTATAGCAAAATCCAAGATGACCCTTTCCACAAATGTTTGGTTTGCCGTTACATCCTACAGACATTCTGGGGCCAAATCCAACTGGATGATGGCTCTTTAATTATGCCTTTAGTTCATCCCACTGGTAAATAGTTGCTTTCTTCACTTTGTAAGCAGGAAACTTGTTTTGGAGTGACTTTACAGCACTCCAAGACAGCAAGTCAGAATGAATGGACAGGTAAGGACTACAGCTCTAAATCCTCTCTTCCTGCTGTCTGTGGGAAAAAATCTCTTTGTGTCTGCCTCATCTTTTAAAACCCTTTCAGATAAGGCAACAGGATGCAGGAGGATCACAGGGAGTGATCTAGTGCTGAGTTCCTATGTGTGCACATCTCTGTCTTCCCGTTTCCTTGATACAAGAAAGGGACTGTGAAAGCTGGCAGTGGTTTTTCTAATTAGAAGGTCTAACTTATGTTTATGTTTCAGAGGAAAAGAGTGTACATTTGGGGATAGATGGAAGAGAATCAGTTCTCTCACCTTCTCTGTCATACCAGCCACGCTCCCCTGTGGTCCTCTGCTCCCATTTAATGCCATATCTGATCAGTGCTGGTCCATCAGGGTAAGCTGTTGAGCATCACGTCATGCAAAGCGCAAAGTCATGGGAAAAGCAGAGTACACAAATAGCAACCAATGAACAACAAAACAAACACAAAGAATGTTGACCCAACAACCACACACCACCGAAAAAAAACACTGCATGAAAGCCAAACAAGTAAAATAAATAAGTAAAGACTCTATAGGGTTACTGCTTTCAAGATGAAATGGAAGGCACATGCGAGACCAGCCTGCTTTCTTAGGCTGCTTTCTCTTTTCTAGCTCTAACACGCACTGTGCTGTTTTGCACAGCATCGCCTAAAGGTTTTTCACTGGTACATCTCATCTTCCGCTGCTAAGAAGATGTTCGTGAGCAGGTTAATAACAGTGCAACAAAATGTAATGGCACCCATTGTTTTAAAAGAGGCATGTGTTAGGAAAGGGTAACCCACTGCCAGCACTGGGAATCATCTGCTGATGCTAGGCTACCAGGTGGAGGTTTCCACTGAAGCCTCCCAGAAGGGCCAAGTCCTACCCTGGTCTCTTCAGCAGGAGCTTCACAGACAGTGCTTGGAGCAGCTTTCTTGAGTCATGCCAGCAAGAGAGAACAGCCGCCTGCCTGAGAAAGAGCATTTCATAAACACAGCTTATGGAGCTTTATCTTGAGATCTGCATGAAAAAAGGCT